TTGCGAAGCCCTATCAACATTACTAGCAAAAGTTCACGGAACTGTGCGCGAAAGTTAAGTACCGTAAACCTATCTCTGTGTAGACAAGGCTTTACATTTCTAAGTATCGAGCAAAAAAATTATGAAAGAACAAACATAAACGTGATTTAAGAATTTTAACTCCCGCCGCCGCGCCGCGCCGCGCCACGCTGACCGCACTGTATTTGGCGCAATGCGTGAAGTATTCCTACAGTCTTGTAGGCGCTATGCGTCTCCCGCCGACCGCTGCTGACCGCACAGTGTTTGACACAATGCGTGAAGTATTCATGCAGTCTTGTAGGCGCTATGCGTCTCCCGCCGACCGCTGCTGACCGCACAGTGTTTGACACAATGCGTGAAGTATTCATGCAGTCTTGTAGGCGCTAATATGTGTTACATGCCGACCACCGCGTCGAGGGCTTCTCCTTTTCATCTCAAGTCCTCGTCATCATTGCTCTCTGCGCCGCGCCATGCCAAGCCAAATTGCATGTTTGGTTCCTCTCCTTTCTCGACTAATTAAAGGTGCTGTCTCTTGTATCACCGAGAGACGACAAAATTATATGAAATTACTATACTCTCAGGAAGTGAAGATGTTGTCACCTTCTCTCGTTTGTAATTTTATTTCTGAATCCGATATTTTTTTATACCTTCATTGAAAAAATTGCAAAATTTGCCGCCCCCCAAAATTCCCCCCACCCCCTAAATCCGGCCCTGCTAGTGAAATTTTTTACTGCAGACAAACCAACGATCATTTTTTTAATTCTATTATTATTTGTAAATTAAAAACTACTTCCTCGATACAATCTGCAACGCTGGAATGAAGTTACGCCATAAGTGAAACAAGCAAAGCGGCCTCAGTTCGTGTCGGATTCGACGATCACCGTACTAACTTCATTCTAACGCCTGGATACGACTATTCGAGCTCCCTAGACGTCCGTATTGCATACGCACAAAAAAGAAGGCGTTTTGACTGTCAGGAAACTCTTCATTTCACTCGTGACCCACGGCGTCAGCGCTAACAGCAGAATTCACTGCGAGGATCCAAAATGGCGGGGCGCTTTCAATTCTTGGTTTGGACTACAAAGATATCTCCGGGGTACGAATAGTTGCATACAAGAGTTAGATGTAAGTAGTTTTTGTACTTAAGTTTTGATATCTCGATTTGCTACGCGTGGTTCGTAGAGAAACTGTTCTTCGAAGTAAATGATATTATGTTCTGCTCTTTCCCTCCTAAAATTTGGACCACGTCTAGTATTCTTTAATTGTTTGGGTCAATTTTGCAAACTTGGAAATGAGTTACTTCGTGTGGGAAACGATGATTCATTGAGCTCCTCTGATATTGACAAAAATACTCAGAAAAAGGTAATTGAATGGCATTAACCAAAATCATTACCAGTCTAACTACGTCAGACGTTACCCAAACGACTCCCATAATTGATTTACTCTAGCAAGAAAACGAAGCAAAATAAGTATTTCTTGAAATCTTGTGAAAATATAATAAAAGTTAATAGAAATTCTTAAAGCGCAACGTTTCTGCGGATCTAGGTGTTTCCTTGGAAATTTTAAAACCACCTAGTGCGACACACACTTAAAAAAAAAAAAAAAAAAAAAAAGCACTTTGTTGTTTTGTTTTCAGTTACAATTAGTAAAATACCTAGGATTGGAAATTAGGGAACGTGAAATGAGGTTAGGCTGTTTCTCGTTAGACGCTTCCAATTTTGGGACCCCTCGCACTCTTGAACAAGCTTTCCGTCATTTATTCAAAAAACCCATCAGGCAAAGGGCAACTGGTCATTTGCGCCTACGCAAAAAGGACTTTTTCGATTAATTCCAACCGAGATTTTGATGTGCATATTAAGTACTCGTGCTTCCATTCGGATTCGCCAGCGGGTGAATCCTACTCGATACTAAAACGCCCACTCACCACGGGCCGCCCTCGCAATCCGGACATATGCATCCGCGGCTCGGGCGAAAAAATGTAATTCGCGGAACCTGGCGCCCCCCGGGTCACGGCCGAGCGGCGGGGGAAGGGGAGGGGAGGAGGGTGGTTGGTTTGAGATCACGTCTTTTGCATCTCCGAGCCGCCTTGGCGCATAATCACGAGGCATCAAACATCAAGGTACGTTTGACGATCGAGAAAGCTAGAAAGTGAGGTGCAGTGTTGCATCGATATGCGGCGCACGGTGGATCGAGTCGATAGGAGAGGCCGGACAAAATTTGGAAACTTTAAAAGCTCATAACTCCGTTTATACAAAACTTTCAGGTTCTAAAAGTGTTTCCATGGGTTTCCTCGTGAAATTTTCTTCCGAAAGTACCCCTTAAAATTTAAAATTTGACGGATTACAGATCAAAATTTGCAGTTATAGTCAAAAATTTCATGTCCGACCTCTCTGATTAACTCGATCCATTGTGCGGCGATTCGACGCACGCTCCCGCGCGATATTCGCCGATAAATTGAAACGCTCTTATTTACGACGATATGACGATATGACGATAAGCCAGTACACCCAAACTATTACCCTAATGGCCGGCCACGTCCCATTGCCTTGCGAGTGGATACTTTTACGAGGAGTGGTCAGGCCACTTCTGCGGGACCGGGATGGAAAAACGCCGTATGGGCACATGCACGTTGCCAAATATCCCCGATAAAATATTGATTTTTGTGAAAAAATTATGAATATTTTTACTCGAAAATTTCAGACAGGTTTGATTAAATTATGGATACAATTTTGCGGAAAATCCGAGGGGAAAAATTTGATAGTTTCTTAGGAAATGCAAATTTTATCGGAGGAGATTTGGCAGCATTCGGATGCTCATATGACGTTTTTACTCAGCACAGGAGACTTCCTGGGACGTCTGCCCCGCGGGCCTGCCGCCAATCGTATGCAAGCGGCACCTTCGAATCAACATTAAGTCTCGTCATATTTTTCTGAGTGCAATTTAATTTACGGTCTGCGCCTTGTTTCGGAGATGAACCGCAATTCACTTTCATCCGTGGATGAGGTTTTCAAAAATGTGGCTTGCAACTCAAATGCTATATTGTTTTGAACAGTCTTTTTCTTTCGATCTAATAGTAAGGCAAGAAGATGAGTACAATTTTATTTTAATTTCAATTTTTTGGAACTAATTCGCATTCAACCCGATTCGAAAATTAGGAAACAGACGGAGAGGTAGGAGAGGAGAGAAGGAGTTGAAAGGAGGGGGAGGGGGGAGAAGAGAGAGAAGGGGCAGAAACAGAGAAGAAGGAGAAAAATAGAGCGAAAGGAAAAACTGTTGCTTCTTTTCCTTTCGCTTCCTCAACTCCTCTTCTACTTCTTCTTCTCTATCTTTTATTTTTCTTACCTCTCCTCTTTCTTCCTCTTCCTCGTTTTCTTCTTCTCCTTCTCTTCCTCATGTTTCTCTTTCTCATCTTCCTTTTTCCCATCTTCTCCCTCTTCTTCTTCTTTTTCCTCCTCTCCTTCTTCCCTTTTCTTTGTCCTCCTCGTCCTCCTTTTTTCCTCCTTCTTCTCCTCCCTTATTTAATTCTATCTCTCCTTCTACTTTTTCTCCTGCTTCGCTTGCTACCGATTCAATACGTCCGGATATATGTTAAAAATCTTGAGCCTATCAAACTGAGGTAGAAAAATTAAAAATTTTAATATTTCCATATTTCTAAATTAAATTTTTATTCGACATTTACAAAACTTATCAGGATGGTTACCTTCCTGTGTACGAAAGTAGATCGAACCCTTTCTCTGGGGAGATCTTTGACCGCAAAGCATTGTGGGTTGGTCTTGGCATTCGGCTCTATGTTTGAGCACAGTTTCAATAGTCCCCAAGACAGAGGCTGCCCAAGTCACGATTTTCCCGAGGTACCAATCGCCCGATCATTGATTGTATCTCTTCAGATGCTTATCGTGATCGAGGCTGCAATATCCACAACCAGCCGCCGGCCATGAGTAAGAGTTTAATAGGGTGCGTGTCGTTATGCGAAACTGATGCTTGAGGACCTCTAGAGAGGACCGTCGGGAGAGGCGTCGGAATTTATCGTCAAGGAACCCAAGACGAAAGTGACAGGCCTACTATAGTAGGAAATCCTTGAATGAGAAAGGCCTAAAAAGGCCGTTCAGAAAATACGCAAGACTAAAAATTGGATTCCCCATCCCGTTTCCCACAACGCAGATCCACAGCTCCCACAGAAAAGTAGGAAATACTTTTTGCCCCCCCCCCCCCATCCAGATCCAGGCACATCTTACCCGAGTTTCCAAAATACATTTAAGAGTGGCGGAGAGTGCTTTGCGATGTATCGATTGATTAGCCGCATTTAAATCAATAGAAAATGATTGGTATACAGAATGTTCGCAAAGAACACTTAATAATCGATTCTTTACCACAGTTTCAAGTAGGGAAATATCGATAATCGAACATTCACGCCTCGCCACTAACATTAAATCTGCCGTGCTAAGGAAAAACGCCGTATGAGCATTTGAGGGTTGCCAAATTTCTCCTGATAAAACATGTATTTTTGAAGAAAGTTATTCATATTTTTCTTTGAAATTCTCAGATTTTTTAGATCAAATTGCGAACAAAATTGTCTGAAAAATTCGAAGAAAAACATCCACAATTTTCCCAGTAAATACGTTTTATATTGAGGGAGATATGACAACGCCTGAAGGTTCTTACGGCGTTCTTCCATAGCACGGCAGAAATATACTGTACTGTGCGATAGAAAATAATGCAGATTAACTAAGGTCTATCGTGAGTAAGAAAACTCTCCTTCATCGAAGAAGAAACTGCTTATAAAATACTGAACGCTAGACATCTGAATTTTCATCCCTTCCCTCCCTTTCGTAACGCACTGGTACCGCAGGCCTCACAAACAAGACCCTCTCGCCTTCTGCTCTATTCTTATAAAAATTATAGAACAATACAATCATAAGAAAATTTAGTATTTTTTTATATCCGAGGCCCTATTTGTAATAAATAATGTCAATTTTACTTACGATTTTTTGTAGAAAAGCCATCCGTGAATGGACGATATGCATGAAAACACTACGAGCAAAACCGACTGCAAAAGAAAGGAAAACTTAATAAATAAATACGAATTATGGTGATTGAAGGGTATGGAAGTAAACATTGGCTGAATAAAATAACTTAATCTAATTGCTCTTATCTCTAAAAGTAGAGGTGAAATCTTTAGATTTATATTACGCCATTCATAAAATCAATATATTTAATCTACATCAACAAAGAAAACAAAAAGCGTGCAATGACTTTCTCCTACCTTTTTTGACTTCAAAGATATGTTTTGCGATTTCAAAGATCGCGAAGAAAAAAGAATCTTTGCGCAGAAGGCTCATCGTGGAATTTAGTTTTAACCTACTTTTTTAGTCGTAGTTTCAATTCAATTTTCTGGTGACAAGAATCTCGGTCTGGTGATAATACTGCATTTTTATCGGGACCAAGATATCTATTACTACAACTACAGAAGTAGGTTATGATTCTTTTGCTCCACATGATTAAAAAAATTTGCACACTATTATTCTTTCAAAAAATAAATTAATAAATTAATTACAACATTTAAACTCCAACATCAGATACATCGGTCCCCCAATATGGATTAGGCACCTAGCTCTGGACTCAGTTCTCCTTCTATTAGCCAAGTATGCAAATGGAGTTACCTATCTGTATTTCTTCATTGCATGGGTAGTGTTGACGCAAGGCGAGAAAATAAACGAGAAGTTTTTTACAGTTTATTTTTTTTCTGAGATATTAAACCATGACTAGATTTCAGGTTGGATGTTCATTGATTTTCAATTATGTAAAAATTGATAAAAAGTAAAAAGAGCCATTTGAGAGTAAAAAGTATCTAATTAACATTAGCATTTAAGTGATGCTTTCAATGATTTTTAATTTCATTCATCTCCTTTCTTACCTCTGAAATTCAATTGTTTCAGCACTACTACTAAAATTGGTACCGTGGTTTGTAGACAGGTACAAAATAATCTGCTCAATTCGAGGATACAAGCTAGTTTTGACGGAATGTAAATGAAACATTGGTTTCTGACTACATGTATTTCTCCCAATTCACCGCGTGTGAAGCGACACCTCAATAGGCAGTTCGTATTCAAAAATGCTAATAATTTTTAGCAAAAACCTATGTTTTATTTACGGATAAACTTATCAAAAAAAAAAAAAAAAAAAAAAAAAAAAAAAAAACATATTTACTCTGATTGAAACAAACAACAAAGGAAGAGCCCGAAATATGTATATGACAAATGATGTTTCTCATTTACTCTGATTTTGAAGCAGAAAGTTAACTTAAAGCGAAACAAATTAATCGCTACTATGAACTTGATACAAGTAAATAATTTTGGTTGCTGGTGACTGCAGCAAAGTATTCGCAAAAGAACAAAAAAATTCAAAGGCATAACCGACGTTTCAAAAATGTAGCCCACTTTAAGAGCCGGTTCTATCACTTGTAGTTAAATTTAATCTCTTGTCCAAGCAAAACTTCCAAAGTTATTTTGAGGCCTACATAATATTATGATCCGAATGATATTTTCGATTAATCGATTTTGATGGAAAGTTTTGGAGCCATAAGAATCACTAAGAATTAACATGTACTTGGAGTGCCCGTCAAATTTCACGTGAAGGTTAAACCCGACAGAGGGTAACAGAACGGGCTTCGGTGCAATAGACAGTCAGGACTTCATGACTGCCATGATAGCGAAAAAAGCAGTAAGTGCACGCTGGAATGAACCTCGAGACACATAAAAGCATGTGCTAACCATGGCTCATACAGAATTGCACTTACTGCTTTCTTTGCTACAACGGCAGATGAGATAAAGGATCTCTTGGTGTTTTGAATATTAATTGTCCGTCAAACGCCCCCGAGAAAAGTGAATTATAAGTGCGCGGGCAGTGCGCGACACCATTGTGCAAGTGTGCACCCTTGAGACAGGGAAAGTTCAGTACCAGACCTTTGCTGAACTTTCTTCCTGCTTATGATACAACTTGACCCCACAGCCACTCTCGTTGGACAAACAAGGAAGTCTGACGTCATTTTTCAATGCCGCCAACTTTGCTCTGCTGGAATCTGCGCATATTGCATAAGGACTATAAGGAAAGTCGAGCGTAAAATCCGCATGCAGCTTACTGGTATCGATCTGCACTCGCATAATAGAAATGGGGGAACTCGGGACAACTTTTAACCGGACTATTACTGGAACAGTATATCTGTGCCAGCCATCGTTACTCTTCATGAAATAACTTTTGTTCCTTCCTACATAACCATTACTCAATTCATAGACTAAGAGGATTAGGTATAATTTAAGTTAAATTTTCGTATTGACTTTCTTCTTACTCCTCTTCTTTTCTGCTGAGTTGTGCTTTCTTTTGCATCAACCTCGCTAATCCTTTTTACACGAAAACTCACACTCTAACAAAAATACTATAACTGAGAATGCCATACTACAGATAAATGCAGTTTTGAGTATATAAGATGCATATACATACATATTAGCATTCAGCAATATGCAAAGAAAACGAATGATAAACTCCTCAAAATGAGTGATTGTTAAACTAATTTTACAATAAAAATAGCAGACGTTGAGAGTTATATGGACTGCATTTTGCAATTTGGACCTATAAATTCTGGCTCATCTGAAAAAACACTTATGTGCTTAGGGAAACTAATGGCACATACGTTGTTTTTAAACCGGACCGGGATTTATAGGTCCAAATTGCAAAATGCAGTCCATATGATAATGTAAATGAACGGTAGGGACTTGGCAGCCAAAGAATGCAAAATCATTGTAAAGTTCCAGAAATCGTGTGACTTAACGGTCTCATTTCCTGACTATATAGTTTTCAAAATTCTCTAAAATTAAGCCTATGCACTAGACACTTGAATCACGCCCTAAAAATTATATTATTGTGTGTTTTATTTGATGAGTGGGATATTTCATTGTATGTATTTGCGGGATCCCTCTTGACAATTAAATTAATCTGGGTGCCCAAGTACATCGAAAAACAAAACATTCAAAATTTCCGAGTGAAGTGAGTTCCATCGATACCTCCTAAAATCACAGTCTTGTTCACTCTCCAACCTTATTTCTTACCTCAGCCCCCTTTGTTACCTGTTTACTGTCTCATATTTCACGCGACCCAAAAAATTGGTATTTAAAGTTTTATTGAAAGAGGATAAAAAGTATGAAAAAAAATAAAACTTGAGGTGGAGCGAAATCGGGTAAAAAGACGATATCATTTCCAAATGTACGCGCATCTGATTAGAGAGGGTGAGCCCAGAAAGAGTAACACAACGGTCAAATTTTCATGCTCCATCTGAAAAGTTTATCTGAATCAATCCCTATCTTGTAATGTTTGCTGCTGGCCCTAAAAAAAGCTGCTTCAAAAATGTTTGCTCGTTCTACATGTATTACGGCCACTTACAATTCGACGCTGAAACTCGCACGTATTTGGTTTGCGGTGTTTAAAAGTCTCCGCTCCTATTTTATGTTTTTTTAAGGAGAACAAATCAACGACATACTTTGAACTTTTTACAGAATTTTCCTCGCGTAAAGGAGAAAAATTACGGAAAGTCTTATGAAGTAACGTTCAAAAAAATTTTAATTTAAAACATAAAGAATTACAGGAAGTATGCTTCGTTACAAACCTAGATACGTGATTCGGGAGTTTCACCGTCACACAGTGGATTGAGTCAATTGGAGAAGTCGGACATGACATTTTTGACCAAGACTGCAAATTTTGATGTTTATTATTTCGTCACATTCAATATTTTACGGGGTGCTCCTGGAAGACAATTTCTCGGGAGAATCAATGGAGCCACTTTTAGAACCTCAAAGTATTGTATACATGGAGTCATAAGCGCTTAAAGTTCCCAAATTTTGTCCGAGCTCTCCGATTGGCTCGATTCACTGTGCGTCGATACTGTTGGGAAAAGAAGAGACCCAATGGAGATGTTGCACGTGTGAGGGATTTACGATTTGAGTGTTATTTCTTATGTAAAAGTTCGCGAGAAACACGATGGTGCCACAGGTTTTCTCTGAAATAATCTCCCAAGCTCAAAAAAAGCTCTCAAAGTGAGGCCAAAATGGAGGGGATATCCCGCCCTACCCTGAGAGTCCACCTCTACATCAAAACAAACTCTCCATACAAAGTTAGGGAGCAAATACATTAGCAGGGTTGCCGTGTTTTCAGTTTTGGAGTCCCCAAAATAATGAAGTGGCAGCCAAGTCAATGTATTTGCTCCCTATCTTTGCATGGAGAGTTTGTTTTGATGTAGAGGTGGACTCTCAGGGTAGGGCGGGATATCCCCTCCATTTTGGCCTCACTTTGAGAGCTTTTTTGAGCTTCGGAGATGATTTCAGAGAAAACCAGTGGCACCATCGTGTTCCTCGCGAACTTTTACATAAGAAATACCAGTCAAATCGCAAATCTCTCACACATGCAACATCTCCATTTCCACGGTCTGATAAGATTATTTAGGTCTAAAAGGTTGTTTTTCGGATTTAAAAGGTAATACTACGGGAGTGCCCCGTCCGAAAGAGTCTCGGCAGAGCCAATGCTCTTTTCGCCCGTGGTGGAGACAGTCCCCCGGTTAAATATTCCAACATGGTCAACATACGTCGGGTGCGTGGACTTAATGAGCAAGCGTGTAGGAAAAGGGCAAAGACGCCCGGAGCTCGGCCCAAAGTCGCGTGCCTTTCAGTTCGACCGGGGCCAAGAAACGCCAACTCCTTGACGCATCGACCGATTTTACGCGTTGCGGTCCATCGCCGGGGATCAGGGGAGAATGCAGCGCTCTGCACTCACCGTCTGCTTCGGCGGTAATTTATTCCGGGGTTAAAGAGTAGTTTACCGGTGATAATTGGACGTGGAAACAAGTGAAAGCTGTGAATTTACCGAGCGTCAACTAGAGGCGGTGCGCACTTGTCTCTGAATAATTGTAAATGGATCTCTGTGCACTTCCATCATGGGCTCCTTCCCCGTTGACAGTTGAATGCGGAATGCCAACTCTCCTTGATAGATGGCGCCCCAATCATGCTACGCTACCGACTTGTTTTCCGAACGGCCGCCGTAAATCTTAAATCCTACATCGTCCTCACCGTGAACTTTGTCTACTTCTCCGAGCTGGAGTCCCCTTTAGAGTGAGAGTATCGACATTGAAGGTTTCGTTTCTGATTGGCTTAGCTATTTTAGGCTTCATGGAGCTCTTGGGTTAGGTTAACGGCCGACGTTGCATGCAGATTATTAAAATGAGTAGGTTTCAATTGCTTGTATCACCGTGGACTTAATTTAAATTATGAAATTTAGAGTATTTAGTGAATTTTATGCGTTGGAAAAAATATTTTCTAATTACATCTCTCCTAGGGTAAGGATGGCAACAGGAAGAGTAGGCGATTGTATTGACAACGACCTTCTCCCTTTTGGAAAATGGGGTCAAATCTTTCAAGGATCGAAAGGGGGAAAATAATTTTGTTGTTGGGTTACGTTGCTGTTAGCGCTCGGACAAAATTTCACTCAAAAAAAGAAATTGTCATCAAAGAATAAAATTCATATTTCAATTTTATTTCAAGATCATTTTCATTTTTAATTATATGGGTACATTTTATATACTTAGAATTGATCAAACTTTAAGAGGAGTTGATTAAATGTGTCATTAATTTTCTGTGGCATTACGAATTTCTGGCAATTTTCTGATGTGTGTAGATCTTACTAAAATCCCACTATATAAGAGTTTTTTACTGAATATATTTACAAGAAGAATATACAGAGCATACGCACTTCCTGTACATTGCACTTAATTGTGGAGAGCATACACACCAAATGCAGATCGCATTTTTGCAATCCATCTCCTCTTTTTTAAAGACACTCATGAGGCTGCCTGATTAATGACTAGATGCTTCACATGTTTAAAAAAATATAAATGTTCGGATATTTAGAACTTCTCATAACATTTCATTAACCTCGCCTTGCTGAACAAAATAAGTTCTTTCCGCGCGAATAATGTCAAAAACAACCATTTTGGAAATATATTTGTGTGTATGTCTCACTCTAGTCCCTCGTTTCCTTTCAAATTTTATTGATGACGATTTTTGCTCAGGAGAACAAAGGATCTACAGTAACTCTACCAAAACACATTTTCGAATTTTTCGGCAAAATTTTGCCTCGATAACTTCTTAACAATTCCTATCAAAGTTTTGTTTTTTTATTATTTTCAATTTGTTTCAATTCGTTAAAATATTTAGATTTAAAAACTAAATTTTTTGTATTTTCTAAATGTTTAGTCATTTATCGTTTTCAATGTTACTGACAACTTTTTCGTTTTAAAAATTTAATTATTTTCAAATTATTAAATTTAAAAAGTAATTTTCAGTTTTTAATTTTATAAAAGTTACTTTTTTAAACTTTTTATTTTTGAAAAGGATTTACGTTCAACTATTACTTGAAAACAATCAATTTTTTTAAATTGAAGATTTGATTTTGATTTATATTTTTAATAAATATTTATTTTTATTTTATTTCTTTTTAATTCACGTACACATCACTAATACTCAACGAAAAATGAACGCGCACTCATCGAAGAAACAACTAAAACCAAAGCTTTTCTTCCCTTGGCGAGAATAATCCGTGAAAATAGCACCACTCAGTCCCTGCATGTGTTAAAAAACGACAAAAAAGAACAAAAATTATTTTAAGAAAAACCACAAAGTAAAAAATAAAACTTGCAAAATGTAGCGAGCGACGGCGAAGTAGAGTATTGAAAAATAAACTTACGAAAACAAATATCCTAGACACAAACATTTTGAACAGGGGTTTATCACCACTCTAGCGCGGAGGTCGCCCTGAGGAGCGCTTTTATATGGGCCCGGGTTCCCAACCCTTCTGAATCTGAGTTCGCCTTGAGTGACGCACCACCACTCACACCACACTACCGCACTAATTGGAAACAAAAACACAGGCACACGCACACGGACCAAGCTTTGGACTTCTTCGTCCTCTTCTATCAATTGTCCATTATCCTCCTAATCCGCTGTCTTCGATTTACCTATTACACAGTTGACAAATTTGCCTCTGATTTTTTTAACTGGTCAATAATAAGAAATCTAAGAAAAATGAGGTTGGTGTGTTCTATGTATTAAAAATATGTGGATCTATGTAGTACTCTTGACGCTCCGAACGTGAAACATAATCCCAAAGACTTTTAGTTTTTTAAGAGGAATAGGTTATAGCTGGATTGGGGAGGAACCTTAGAGAGTAAGAACCCCTTAAAAAGGGATACAGAAAGAGAGAAGATATGGAAATTTAAACTTCTCTCTTTTCGAGATGTTTTTCAAACTATAAAAATTTCACGAACCATAATTTTATATTCTGTAATGCATGATTATAGTTTGCAAAGAATTGTTACCCAAGAATTGATGCCAAACAGCGTGTTTTTTTTTTTTTTTTTTTTTTTTTTTTTTACAATTTCACGCAAAACAAACTCAATAGCTAGTTACTTATTCAATACAATAAATATTTAAAATTGAATAATTAAGGTTATTATCAATCAACTAAAATTGTCTACTCCTTGAGAGCAAAGTGTTGTTTGGTTACTATCTAGCAGCTTCTACGCTTGTTATAAATTAACTAAGACCTATCAATGAATTAAATTCATAGGATGAATTTTTCGATTTCTGAACTTTTTTATATAAAAACAAATATTGTTGTGACACGTTGAAATTTCAATGTAAAGAAAGTGGTACCATCTTAATCTCATTGCAATCGTAGTATGGTATCTAATTGCGAAACGCAACTCAATATAGAACTGTTTTTTCGTCTCGTTTTATTCAACTCTTCAAAAACGTAGTAACAATTTAAAATTGCAGTCTCCAGAATAACTAGATAGATTTTCTTAGTAAGCTCATCCTAATCGATTATTATACCTGAAATTATTTCGAAGACCTGAATTTGATCGTGAGGTGTAAACAAAACTTGGCAAGAAACTTTCGGAAGGAAAAACTCCACTGTTTTTCTCGAGTTATATATACACCCTGGTGATTCAAAACCTACAATGGACTATACTCACACTTTACGGTAGGTATGCATGCAAAGTGAGATTTGATAAACTTGGCAACAGCGGCTTTTTAGGAGAGCACTTGAAAAACTAAAACAAATCCCGGCACTGCGCTGGGGCTCTTAAGTCGCGTTGTTTGCGTAGGGCAGTCATGAGGTGAGCTTTGAGGTTAAGTGTGGCGCGTGGCCGCCGTGTAAGCTGCATCAGATCCTCCTTTTGTTTTTGAATTATCTCAATTCCATGCAACTATTGGCGAAAGCTGTAATACTTGAGATGGCAACAAAGTGTGTTACAAAACATGACGTGAGCAAGCAACTATTACTGCTCCTAAGCTGCTTACATTGCCTGCTCCAAGTTTTGAAGGCGAAATATAGCTAGAACGTTGGCCACTACAATGAGTACTCCAATTGATAGGCGAATATGACGGAAACGGAATGAACGTTTTGAACGTTGCCAAACTACAGCAAGCAACTATTTCTGCTTCGAACCCGCTTAAATTGCTTGTTCAAGTATTGAAGGCGAGGTGGCTGGGATATGGGCCATTGCTGCAAGCCCATGCACTGTAAGAGAGCTCATGCATGCGTTGGGATTTGCGATGTAATCACTTTTACTCACATGTAAAATTTCGAGAGAGACACGGTGATATCTTTAGTCTTCTCTGAAAGAAACTTCAAAGCTCAAAAAAAGCCCTCTTTAAGGTCGCAATGAAGGGGATCCATGCGCTACGGTGAGAGACCACTTTTCTTACTCAGGCGTTTAAGTCTCCAGATATATACATCGATACTCAGCCGGGATGTGATATCATTTGTCAATCTCTCACATGAAATCGTCGTTTTCAAGACGAGGAAATGTATCTCTACCCCTAGGTTGTAAATGTGACTGAAACGATTCACTTTTTATCTAGAGGCGACGCGACGATGCAATTTTCATCCGAAAGTTTGCTGATTTTTGAACATGGTAAATTTAGGCTGAAAGCAGCGATGCGAAAATGGATAAGATTAAAGGAAACTATGAAGCACACAAGCCATTTACGTAATTTCTTTTGATTCAATTCATTTAGCATTTGCACATAGTTCGTCTCAGAAAAAATACGCCTTGATTCATAGGTTCAAGTGTAAAACGGACACGTGTAAGATCTTGTGTAAACGTGTTTTCCAAACAACCCCTTTGGCACTTTTAGTCCCACGTAAGCATTAGTTTAATTTTTCTTGAGTAACATGATGTATCGTGGTATACATGGTTCGTTCCTCCAATCGGTTGAAAAATTAAGAGCGTCATCAGAAATGGGGTGGAGACTGGAGACCACCATTTTACAAATTTATGTCAAAATCACCACCTGCTCAGTTTCATCCTCCATATGAAGGATGCACTCCCGAAGCCTTACTTTTCTCTGCCTCCGCGCCAACAGGCTTCATTATTTTCATTTTGCATGCATCAAAGCATGAAATTATGCCGCTGACTGAACTACTTGGTTGGCTAGGAATTTTATTTTGCCGAGAAGATCAGCACTCTCGATTTGAATAATATTGTACATACATCATTCAGACAGTGCGTGACTGTTTAAGATTTTTCAACGCACCTCCACCTCAACACAGGATTTGCCGGAAGCACTCATGATAGATACGATTATTATCGAGCACCTTGCAACACCTTTTTCGTTGATAGACATGGCATGATCCTGTCAGTATTTATCACGAGTTTCTTTCAACGTGTCAAGAAGGGGCGTTTTATTGCAGTTTTAGAAGGAATTATAATCTCAACTTTTTTTCTCAATTTAGTGTGTCTATGCATACCTCTGTGCACATGTGAGCGCTTCACGAACATTCATCAGATCGACTACTTTTTTGTGAATCATTCTAATGTTTAACGAAAATTGCGAGAGGTTTTCAATATAAAAATATATTTCAATTAAATAAAAGTTTAAATTTTTAGATGAAAAATTGGAAAGTTGCAATTTAACTACCTTGCAATGAAGAGTATATATTATCGGCTTATTTAAAAACAACATATGTGACGTTGATTTTCCTATGCACTTGTAATTTTCTATAGATGAGCCGTAAAAAGGAAATTCCTAATGCAAAATTAAGCCTAGTCCAGTTAAGCGTTCCTCTTTCTTTCTAATAAACTCTTTGACTCATTGTTATAGCTAAGAGCTGTATGTTAATAAAAAAAAACATTCAAAAAAGAGCATGCACACCATACCATCTCGGCAATCTTATTTAGCCAGTAATACTACCCTTCGTAAAAGAATAATTATTAATTATTAAACTACATTTTGCAATAAGAAATATTATTTGCTCATCCATTAAAACAATTTCGCGTACATGGAATTTAATAGCACATATTGTGTTTCTAAAATAAGCCAGAAAGAATGGATTTTATCATAAAAAGGAGTCAAGTGTTACAGCAGCCCAAGGAAAATATTTTTGAGAACCACTTCCATTTGATTAGCCCTCACCTAGGCTGGCCGTTTACAACAGAAGTTCAACCTATCTCCTCCACCCTCAATCCTAAAGCATCAAGGTATCGGCTACAACCACCAGAAATGTCTCAGTCTTCGAAGAAACACGATGACCATTAATCGAATTAGACTGAGAACTGTAGAGTGTAGTCTCTACCTCTGCAACTGCTGGATCCTCATCTCAAGAGCATCTTCATCTCTAATGAAATATAATTGTTTCACAGATAATTGGTGTTTGTGCATACGTCAGCTCATAATGGAGAAACCATGATTCTCAGTTTTTGAAGTGTTTATCGGCATCTTCTGACTATATGGACCTCAATCCCTCCTTCTGACTCAATGGAGACAGACCTAGATTTTTCAGGAGAAGGTTTGGTGCTTCTGTTGCCTTTCATTTACAATAAATTAGATCACATTCAGCGGACATCAAGTTTCTATCCAATGCTGCCATTTTTTCATTACTTTTTTCACTCATTCAAAATGAATTAATGCAAAACTGATCCAGTTGGAGCTTTATTAATTTATCGAGAGTTTAGGAGGAATCTCAACAAAGATGGCACGTGACAGATATTTTAGATTAAGTAAATAATCCCCCCAAAATTCTGGATATTCCATCTCTATTATTGGTTATGTGCTTAGCTGAATCTTAGTGAAAAAGGATTATGTTTAATGTCGTGCATGGAAATTGCAGCCGGATGATTTACACTATGGAACTTCTTGAGGCAAACTTTTCTTCACAGTCTTACTGAGAATTAGAGCAGATCCAAGCAACTTCAGGAGTGAGACATTTTTTGAGGTGTTGAATTCTAAAAATGTTATCAGCTTACCGGCTACATCATTATATGAACGAAGCCCCAATACATCACGGAAAACCTCTCAACTGAAACCTCTTGACAGACCCCTCCCAGCTACACACACTCAAAAAATATTCTCGGCGTTTTTACCAAGGTCCGTTGGTACCTTTACCATCTTACTTTTTTTACCAATATTGGTAATTTTACCAAGACAGACTGGTAAGCTTACCTATAAACCGGTATTTTTACTGTTTTTTTCAGGTAAGAATACAACTTTTATTCGTAATCAATTCCCGGTAACTTTGCCATTTTATCTCGGTAATTCTACCACAGTCGATAAAAAATATTGGCGTTTTTACTGGGGTCCAGAAAAATTACCGAAAAAGTCAATAATTTTACCGAGATTTCTCGGTAAAATTACCAATTCCATACATGGTAATTTTACCAAGAAAAAACTGGGATCAAATAAAACCCTGAATTCTTGGTAATTTTACCCTTTTCTTAGTAAATACACCGAGATTTTTTTTTCAGTGCTCACTCAAGAGTAGTATCGATAACATTTTAGTGTAAAATATTTGCATCT